CTAAGCAAAACTATATTCCCCTCCAATTTCAGCTCCACCATTTAGTAGCAGTGTTACATGCAGAAATTTGCAAAGTTTCCCAGTTCCATTATTTTCCCATTCATATAAGTAAAGATAACAGTTCTTACCTCAAAAGTTTGATTTCAGTTAATTTCCAATATTGTACAACAGATATTAACAATGGTTATCAGCTTTTATTATGCCTTGAGCCAATGTTGACACATTTTAATTTCAAATTGCATCTAGTATTCAGGAATAATATCTACTAGGGGGTTTGAGTTCAGGCAAACATGGGAACTTACAAAATATCATTGGCTACACTTGGTGCCAATGTATGGAAATGGCTACATGACGAGAAATTTCCTCTAGGCAGCATAGGACTTCTCAACAAGAGACGAGCAGAAATAATCAGTGTGGTGGTTCCCACAGGTTTGGGAACTGTGCCTTTCTCAGGTGATGGAGCAGGTGCAGGGCCGTGAAGTCCTCACCATTGGAAGCGCAGGTCATTAAAGACTAGAATTTTAATGCAAAATACATGTCTGATAAAGGATTTGCATGCAGAATACGTGCAGTCAGAGTAGCATTATAGGAACAGAAGACTATGTTGATAGAATCCATGTGAAAACAATCAGATCTTCATAAGAAATGCAAATATTATGCAATGTAGGCATGTACTAGTAAATGGTAAAAACTGAAAATTAAACAGAAAACATAAAATAGAAAAAATAGTACAAACAGAAGGGATATTCTACCATGGCATTCCTCTTGACTGTCAATAATTACAATAGACTTTGACAAAGTCTTTCTAGCTGATAGTGCAATTTAACATAGTTTTCAAGGACTCACATTCAATTAATGGTGTTTTTGTGTAGAAAGACCCGGATGTTTGTGTAGAGAGGATGCATGGACAAAAGTTACCGTATCAGGTAGTTCTGCTTCATTTTTTCCACAGTAGAGACTTGTTCACATGTTTTGAAGTAGGACTGAGTCTTCTGCTTCAGCATACCTCTAGACTAGTTCAATTCTTACTGCAGTTTAACTGAAATCATGTAAAACATATCACAGTGTAGAGAAGAGACATTATAATATGCTCAAGATGATATGGGATGACGATATGCAGGCTACCTCAGTGAACATTACCTAGATGGTTTAAAATAAATCTTATAATTAAAATAAAAGTGAATTTATTAAACATAAACACTTGTCATTTACCTAGATACTAAAAATCATATAGATTGCTCGATTAAATTTAGACATAAAAACGCTGGGGCAGGGTTGGAGAGATGGCTCAGTGGTCTAAAGCACCTACTTGGAACAAGCTTGGCTAAAGCACAGGGACCGCGGTTCAATCCCCAAGCACCACATGCCAGCCAGCC